CACAACATCTTTATTTGTATGTGGTGCTGAGGATCAAACCTGGGCCGCACGCATGCCAGGCGAGCACGCTACCGCTTGAGCCACATCCCCAGCCCATATTTGCTGTTTTTGTTGCAGATTTTTTTTTGTTAATTAGGCTTTGCATTTAAATTAAAGTTAGGTTGTTTTGACATAAATGAGTTTAAAATTTTTAGGAGATCAAATCTCTTAATCTTTCCTTTCTTATTTCTCCCTCCAGAGACTAAATATTGTCTCTCTGTGCTGCCTTCTTAATAATTTCATCTTTTTTATTTTTTGGTTCATTAATTCCCTCTTCAGCTGTGTCTACTGAAAAACTTACCCAATGAGTTAATTTTACTTTTTATATCTTCCTTTTTTCCCCCATATTTATTAGATCGCTTTTTGTTGTTATCTAAACTCTTTTGGGACCTAGTTTCCTTTCCTTCCTTCCTCCCTTTCTATCTTTTTGTGGTACTGGGGATTAAACCCAGGGGCACTCTACCACTTAACTATATCCTCAGCCCCTTTTATTCTTTATTTTGAGATAGGGTCTCATTAAATTGCCTGGACTGACCTCTAACTTTTGATCCTCTTAGCCTCAGCCTCCCAGATAGCTGGGATTATAGGGATGTGTCACTATGCCCAGCTGGGACCTTGTTTCTTGTGTTTGATTATTGTGTGGCTACATACTGGTTACTAGTCAATGTTAGAGTCTGTAAACAAGTCAGGATGGCGCCTAGAAAATGTTAGAGTCTGTAAACAAGTCTGGATGGCGCCTGGCAAAATGCCAGAGGGAGTAATTTGTGAAGTAACACCAGCGAGCCATTAAGTGTAGAGATGCCTTATTGGTTGACTGATGTATCTAGTTTATGCTAATTAGATAAGCTGTGTGAAATATATAAATATTGCTCCAGTCCTACAATAAAGGGCTTCCACTCCTGCTGTATCAATCTACACAAGTTATTCGTCACCCCCCGGTTATTTTGCTGCAGCTGGACTGCGGCAAGTCTTTTTTTTTTTAAACAAACAGTTATAGATTTTTATTATATAATAAAGGAGAACAACACTGTAGCAAGTCTTCAAACTTTTCTCTAAGTTCTATGAAAAGATTCCTTAGCCTGTATTTCCCAACCATATTTCATGTACATATAATCTAGAATTTCTCATATTTCCCACTGCCAACTGGCTTCATATACTTCATAGGTCATAAAAATAATCATGATGCCAAATGGCTGGCTGGAGTAATAGTAATGAATATTTATTCTTTCCACTAGAACCCAAAACCAAAAGAAATCAGCTATCCCTTGCTTCCCATGTCTGTATACATTTTATAAGTTAGTGTCACATAGCTGTCCTTGAATAGGAAGTGTTATAGTGAGCCTGAAAGAACCAGGAAAAAGAAAACAATTATTGCTGATTATGTTCTAAATTTAACCACATGTAAAAGTGAGAATCTTGTTCCTTGCATGTGTTTCTCATGTACTATGAGGTGAAACCATGGCAGAAGTATCTCCCTTCAACAGGTTCAATGTCAAGGGTGTTAACTCCACTTCCATGGATTCTTTCAATATCTCTGTCTTTGTTTAACTCCAGTCCCAAAACCCTCCGTGTGGACTCCGTTCTCTGGAAGCGCAGAGGGTCTTCCAAACCCGCTTGTCGCGCGAACAAAAAGCCCAGCATGGCGTTTCCTCACCTCAGCTTGCACACTGGTTACTAGTCTTAAATAATTATTGTGGAAGAAGGAAGAAGTAGAGAGTTATTGTTTAATGGTTAAGAGTTTCTGTTTGAAAGATGAAAAAGTTTAAGCAGTAGTGGTGATAACTGTACAATATAATGGTATAATTACTGCCACTGAATTATGTAAATGGCTGAAATGGCAAATTTTATGTTATATACACACATAAAGCCATAACAAAATATTTTGATTATTAAAAAATTTAAGCTAAAAATTAAAAAATGATATTGGGGATTATTTAAGGTCTGGGATGAAGATGCTTTCTTCCATTGGTAATATGCTTTTTTCTTCTTCTTCTTCTTCTTTTTTTTTTTTTTTAAAGAGAGAGAGAGAGAGAGGAGAGAGAGAGAGAATTTCAATATTTATTTTTCGGTGGACACAGCATCTTTGTTTATATGTGGTGCTGAGGATCGAACCCAGGCTGCACACATGCCAGGTGAGCGCGCTACTGCTTGAGCCATATCCCCAGCCCTCTTCTTTTTTTTTAAAGTGGTTTTTCTTTCTTTTTTTAAAAATATCTTTATTTATTTATTTTTAATGTGGTGCTGAGGATCGAACCCATTGCCTCACACATGCCAGATGAGCGTGCAACTACTTGAGCCACATCCCAAGCTCCATAATATGCTTTTTTCTTGCAAGACACCTATAGGCATTTTATTTTATTTATTGTTTTTGGTACTGAGGATTAAATCCAGAGGTGCTTTACCACTGAGCTACATCCCCAGACCTTTTTATTTTTTTATTTTGAGACAGGGTCTCACTAAGTTGACAAGGTTGGCCTTGAACTTGTGATCCCCTTGCCTCAGCCTCCAGAGTAGCTGGGATTTCAGGTGTGTACCACCTTGCCTGGCACCCATAGTCATTTTAAACTATAATTCCCTGGTTGAGATTTTCTGAACCCCAATATTATGCAAATCTGCACAAGAGGAGGTTCATTCAATGATGACAATGTCTCAGACATAATTTTTCTTTTCTTATTCCCTCCTGTTCTGCTTACTGCCAAGACAATGCCACTATCAGTTCCTGGGGATGGAGGTAAAGAGCAGTGCATCTACTTCCAGTTCAACTACAGTGTGCTTCTTCGGGAGGTTTAAGCATCGTGTTGGAGGGTATTCTATTAGACTCTCACTTCAAGTTCGGTCTGGGCTTTCATTTTTGCAACCTGGCTTCTAGATAGTGAACCCATAGCTTAGTCTCAAGCAAATGCCTTAAGGGTAAATGCAGGTTCTAATGCTAAACTTACCTCTTAGCATTCTGGTTTTCTCTGAAGATGTTGGCTTGGTAATTCCCTGCTTTTTTATTAGCTCTTAATACTTTTAAGGTGTTTTAAATGCTACGCTGTATGAAACTGTTTTCAGCTAAGCTATCTCACCATTTCTGGAAATGGAAGACAGAAATCTATTTTCTTCTAGATTTTGTATAGTTTGAATTTATTAAGTGTTTTAATTCACCTGACAAATATAGTTCATGTTCTGCTTTCTTTGTTGTTACTAATAATTAGCATATCAAATTTTTTATTTATAAATTCTGTCATTCTAAACAAGTATCTTCACTCCTGGGCTCTTTCTTTAAAGTGCTGTCTCACTGAGCTTAGTTTGAATTGAATTTATTTTCACGTACAATTTTTGACCCACTGACCTAACTGATCTCAGCAATCTAGTAAGTGTTACATGTAACAGCTCCTAACACATGCTGATGAAAGATCTAACCCACTGTGCCACTGCAGAATAGCAACTAACAGTGGGGCAGGGTTTCTCTAGGAGCTGTCATTTTCCTGGTAGGTTAGCATCTGGACAGACACATGCTGGATGAAGTGTCGCTGCTGATTTAACCATTTGACTGCTGAATTGCAAGATGAGAAATAATGGATATGTTCAGTTCTATCTAATTAGTATTCTCTGACTTAATAACTTTGCAAACTGAATTACTTACAAACTAAATATAGAAAAGTTATTATTATGGTCTGGTTTCTAAGCAACCATTTCATTAAGAAAAGCACCACTTGGAAAAACATCTGTTTGTCAGTAAGGTTTATGCTGCCATCATATAATTTTATGGTGAAAAAGCCATGGTCACTCTGTGCTTTAGTAATCCCTAGTTGTGAAAAGGTCACCAGGGGGTACTACAACAGAGGGAGCCATCTGTTTCAATCTGTACTAGTCCCTGAACCTTGTTATCACAAAACAATTCAGTTTCCCTAAACAGCCATATAATTTAAAAGACATTTTCTCCTGATTACAAAAGCAACACATGTTCATACTAGAAAATGTAAAAAACCATTAGTGAAAAGGCACAAAGAAGAATACAAATCACCTGAGTTTTTGATGCCTTCAGTTAGATCTCATTTTAAAATGGATTCCATTACTAAGAAAAAAATTATTTGAATACCAGTGGCCTAAAATAACTCCATATGTTGTTACCTTTTTCATCTGTAATTACAATGCTTTGTATAATTAAGGGCTGTGTTTTGGACAATTGAGTTCAGAGATATGTACAGATATGTTTGGACATTTCATTGCTTTTCAAGAAAACAGGCTTAAAGACAACAGCATTCTGTGTCAGTGGGGAAAAGGTTATATAGGGTGTGTGTGTGATAAGAGATGATATGGTACAAAACATCCTCACTAAGGCAGATAGATGTCCTAAGATAGACATTTTCAAATCCTTTTTTTTTTTTTTTTAAGCAGCAGAATGTTGTTTTTACATAAAATTTTCAGAGAGGGCTCAATGAAAGAGAAGCAGAGCCATCTGGTTAGATGGGGCTGCACAGTGTGCTAAGCCTACTCAGCCCTCCCTTCTTCCCTGATCCTGAGGGTTCTGGAACACAGGCAGGTGTTCACCCAGTTCTTACTGTCTGCCACAGACCTGCTGCTTTGCTATACCTGTAGTGCAGGCCACTCTTCCCTCCCTCTACCAGGTTAATTCCTAATGATCCCCCAGCTCTCAGCTGATGGATCACTTCCTCCCTGCCTGTCAGGTAGAATGTCTCTAAAACAGTCTCTGCAGTACTGTGTGCCTTTTCTTCAGAGCACCTATAAAATAATTACACAAGTAGATGTGTGATCATTTGATTAATATTTGCCCTCCTCCAACTTTAAGCTCCTTGGGGCAGGGCATGACTGTTTTTTTTCAGCTGTGTACCTACAATAGTGTTCTCAAAATAATACTCAGTAAATATCTGTAAGTGAATGAATAGATTTTTTTTTTTAACTATTAGGGGAAAATGGCAAAAAATAGTACTTCATGATTTCTCCAACCGTGGTTCTATAATAACACCAGAGAGGATCTAAAGAGGAGTCTTAAAATCTCTTCTCTGGGTTTTATGGAGACTTATTTTACCCTTCTGTGGTAAAATAAGCCTCTTAAAGCACCACATCAGCCTTAAAAGGACACAGGAAAGGGAATAGATTTCTTTCTTTACTTTTTTTTTTTTTATTAGCTACACATGACATTACAATGATCTTGGCAATTCATACATTTGAATCAATTGGGAAAGAGTGATAGATTTCTTTTTTCATTCCTATCTACAGTCAAGTTATCAATAAGGGAAAACAAAAGTTGGACACAAAATACAAACAAGCTTCTAAAAAAGCCTTCTTGGGGCTAAAGATGTAGCTCAGTGGTACATACTTGTCTAATATGCTCCAGGCCTGGGGCTTAATCCCCAGCACCACCAAACTAACCAAATAAATAAGGCTTCTCCTAAGAAAGAACCTTAATAATCATGTCCTGGCAGGTGGATGAAGAGATGATCTAATTAGGTCTTTGGTAGCTCCATGTCTGTGAGCCCTGAGGCTCAATTCATTCCCAGCCTCCCTCTTCAGGGACAGCAGAGATACCACAAGGTCACAAAACAAAACCATGTATCAAAGTCTAAGTAAAAAAATGAGGTGCCAAACTGAACAGGCATCATTCAACTGTACTTTTCCACAATTGCCCAAGATCTGACATGACCAGAGAGGGGGAAATTGATGCTTCAAGTTAAAAATGTTGAACTTATGATTCAGCAACAAAAGGAGCTATGTCAGAGTTAATAAAAAATATAATTGGGCTTATTAAGTATGTGAGCAACTTTAAGGATCATCTTAATCACATCTGGGAAGATTATGAATTTTAATTTGTATTTGGAATGAAGGGTAAGTTACTTGTTTTTTAGTGTGGGAAAGAAAGAGAAGAGCAGGGAACTACTCTAGCTGTTACCTGAACTGAGCTCCAGTGAATTGTAAGGGTTCCTTCAGAGAGTACAGGATGCTGTGCTTAAAGATAAGTCAATTTTACTTATGTGTGCTCTCACTATTCCATTCTCCTTAATTTGTCTTCAAATTCTAACTTTACTAAAGAAAGGGTGGCTCCAGGGCAAAATTTAAATAGCTGTTCTACAGGGAAGATACTTACTGACTCCTTAATAGCTTGTAAAGTAGACATTTAAGAAACTGACTTTTTACCCCAAGGTATCTCACAATTGCCTTCTTGGTAGAGGATCCTGCCTTTGTGACAGCTAGCTACATGAGGTGAAGGATTTTAAATGAGCCCTGGAAACCATGAAATTAAGGAGCATATAATTGCTTAGCTGAAAATGTCAAGAACTGCTGGTTCCATGGCTTAATTTTCCTGTCTATAACAGCAGAAGCCATTGTGGTTTGAGAAAGGTGAGAAAATGGAACAAAGTGAAAAGAGAACTGCGGAGTTGTACAAGGGCTTTGGTTTGGGAGTTGAATCCAAGCTCCATCACTTACTGGCTGACTAAGTAACATCTGTACCTTGGTTTCTTTGTCTGAAAAAATGTGGAGAAAAAAGATATTGATGCTTGCAGGGCTTTGGGGAAGAGTAAATGAAATAACCTAAGTTACACCTGATATATAGGTGTATTACTTAATAAATCATGACTGAAAATAAAAGCAAATAAGTAAGAACCATCAATGAGCACAATACTCTAAAATCCATAAAGCCCAGTGCCAAGCCATTTCTGGCAGACTGGCAACTACAAAGATTCCCTGCAGTCTTCACTGAAAAGCCCAGATGCCTTCTCCTGGCATTCCAGAAACTTCCATGTCCCTCACCTTCATGCCTGCTCTGATCCGCTGGCAACCTGAACTGTTTGCCTTCCTTTACACTTGCCCCATTCCTGAATCTCTTCGTGTCTTTGTTTTCCCTTCAGTTTCACAGGTTGAAATCCTGCCCATCCATCTTTCTTGCTCCCAAGAGCACCATCACAAACTGTTCTCAACTTTCAAAGTTTATTTTTTTAAGTGTAAAATTCAGTTACTGTGAGTCTATTTATAAGGCTGTGAAATGATCACCATTATCCAATTCCAAAATAAGTTCATCTCCTCAAAAGGAAACTTCATATCCATTATATCCATGCCTGACTCCCATCGTCCCATCCTCTAGAAACCATTACTCTGTTTTTTTCACATCTATACATTTGCCTGTTCTGGCAAATTCCATTTCATGTAAATGGAATCAGACAATTTGTGGCCTTTTGTGTATGGCTTCTTTCACTTACCCTTCCATCTATGTTGTAGTCTGAATCAGCAGCACCTCATTCCTTTTTTTCACCAAATAATATTCCACTGTGTAAATGTACCAGATTTTATTTATCCATTCATCAGGCAATAGATATTTGGTTGATTCCACTTGGGGGCTATTATGAATAATGCTGATATATAAGCTTTTGTGGACATATGTTTTCATTTCTCTTCAAATGGAGTATAAGTAGAATTGATGGGTTATATGATAACTAAGTTTACCCTTTTGAGAACTGCCAGACTGTCTTCCAAAGCAACTGTACCATTTTACATTTCTACCAGCAATGTATGAAGGTTCCAATTTTTCCAGCCTCATAATTTGTTTTTTTTTAAAGTAAGTTTTTAAAAATATCATTTATTGGCATCAGAAATATAACAAATCTCAAAAGTTCTATACAAAAAAACTGCATGTTTGCCTACCCCATGATCTCAGTGTTATGGTTTGAATGTGTCCCCCAAAGTTCATGTGTTAGAAACTAAATCCTTGTGCAACAGAGAAGAGGGACTTTTAAGAGGTCATGAAGACCCTGCCCTCATAAGTGGATCAATGCAATTCATCCATTTCATGGAGTGGCTTCTGGGAAAGGTTGATTTCAGCCCCTGCCTCCCCATATCCCCATCTCTCTGACTGTTTCCCTCCCACTTTCCCTCCCACTCTCCCTCCTACACTGTCCACCTTCCATCTTCTGCCACGGGATGATGCAGAAAGAAGGCACTGGCTATATGTGGCATCTAGACCTTGGACTTCCCAGGCTCCAAAAGAGTAAGAAGTAAGTCTATATCCCTTGTAGATTTCCCAAGCTCAGGAATTGTGTTATAGCATCACAAAACAGACTAACTTAGTAAACTGCATAAATCCCAGAATTGATTTCTGAAGTCTTTCCTGATGCTCCCAAAACAGTGCTGATACCCTCAGTGCTGAAACAACAATGACCATCAGTAGGAAGAAGGGAAGGCAGTGTGAAGCAGGAAGATGAGTTTCAAAAATACATACAGAGGGGCGGGGGGTGTGGCTCAGTGGTAGAGCACTTGTCTAACCCGTGTGAGGCACTGGGTTCAATCCTCAGCACGGATATAAATAAATAAAATAAAAGGTACTGCGTTCACCTACAACTAAAAAAAAATATTTAAAAAATACATACAGAGATTAATTAAAATTAACACTCTACACACTGCCAAATGAGCAAAACAAAACAAAACAAAATCAAGTAGGCATGAGATCAGCATATTATTAAGTTATATAAAAGGCTGATTTATAGTGAAACCATTTCTCATAGGCAGGCCTGATTCTCCTAAACTAAGACCCTAAGGAAACTTGGCCCTGCCACTTGGGAACAGGAACAATGTGGGCACTATGATTCATTATCTTTCCCTCTGGCAAGAACACAGGCATCAGAGCCAGAGAGACTTAAATTCAAATCTGAATGCTGTCACTTAAGATCTGTGTCACTTTGAGCCAGGTTCTTAACCTCTTTGAGTCTCAGTTCCCTCATCTACAAAATGACAGTAATAATTCCTAACTTTCAGGGTTGTCTTAAGTACTAGGCACTCACTAAATGGAAACTCCTACATTACTTATTGTCATTTCTCTTACATGGCAATTATCCAGAGCAATCCCCCCCCAGCCCCCTTTCAACTGGGAATTGAACTTAGCAGCACTGAACTACATTCCCCAGTTGTTTTTTTTTTATTATTTTTATTTTTTGAGATAGGGTCTTGCTAAATTGCCAAAGCTGTCTTTGAACTTGGGATCCTTCTGCCTCAGCCTCCTGATTCACTGGGATTATAGGCATGCATCACCATGCCTGCCTATCTAGGGCAATCTTGGAAAGTGAAAACAACTAATACTGAAGTAGCCAGTTAACATTTTACTTACAGGTAAAAGTACTAAACTGCTAAATATTCTGATACAAATCTGAATGTATCAATCTTTGACTGATAAACTACTGAACAGATATTCCAAAAATGAAACTAGTATAAAATTCAAGCCTTCTGGACTTTGAAATGCAATGTAATCTCTGATTTGAGGAAGAGGAACAAGGCATCATATAGATCCCCTAGACTATAAGATATGGTGCAAGAGACTAGGAATCCCTGCAAAATGGGTCAGCCGTAGCTCCAACCCTCTCTCAGCTTCTGTGACTATTGCCAAGTTAATTATTTATTTTATTTTTAAAAAATTTGTTCTAATTAATTATATATGAAACTAGAATGCATTTTGACATACTGTACACAAATAGAGCACTACTTCACATTCCTCTGGCTGTACATTGTAATTCTTCATTTTAAAAGGAAGGGTTATGGCCAAGGGTAGTGGAGCAAGCCTATAATCCCATGTACTCAGGAGGTTGAGGTAGGGGGAGCACAAGTACAAGACTAGCCTCAGCAACTTAGTGAGATCCTGCCTCAAAACAAAAAACAAATTAAAAAGGTGCTGGGAATATAGTTTAGTGATAAAGGTCCCCTGGATTCAATCCCTAGGATTAGTGGGGGCAGGGGGGGGGAAGAATTATATATGCTCTTATTGTATTTTAGAATTGTTGACAGAATCAAAGCTTTCTAGATGATTAAGTATCATTCAATTTTAATAAATATTATTGATACTCATACTCATAATAGGATCAATTTCTACCATTATTTGAAAAGTACTAGAGAAGGAAACTATAATACTGGGGAGAGGGGCTGGGGATGTGGCTCAAGCGGTAGCGCGCTTGCCTGGCATGCGTGCGGCCCGGGTTCGATCCTCAGCACCACATACAAACAAAGATGTTGTGTCTGCCTAAAACTAAAAAAAATAAATAAATATTAAAAGTAAAAAAAAAAAAAAATACTGGGGAGAAAATAAGATGTGGAGGAAAGAACAAG